GTTGCTAAGCCTTTAAAAAATTTGCACATGGAGAATATGAAACAAAATAATTTTTAAGGTTTTGAATAACTAAAAAATCATAAATAGACTTAGTATTTTGACTTCACAAACATCCCATTTGAACCAGTGCTGCATTCAACATGCCACATGACACATCGATGTTTATGTGTTTTTTAATATTTGCTTTTAAATTAAGAAATTTAGTAATATATAGTAATTTGAATTGTAATCTAAATTTTGATTCCAAACTTATTGATATAAATTCACGAAATAGTAGTTCAATAAAATTTTGAACGTGAGTCAACAAACAAGATGATATGGCCTTTCACCCATGATCTGCCTCGAGAGGGTTAACAGTAAAAAAATCTTAAACATCTGTTCTATATGTATATCCTGCAAGTGACCTCATTTCCTGGGCAGTAAAAGGTATAATTTAGGTTATTTATATATATATCAAATATCACTGAAAAAAAAACTTAAAAATAAGTAAATGTGCTTTTAACTCTTAAAATGCCAGAGTGCATTGAATTAACACACCTGTTACACAGTTTGCTCTACTGGATTAAATTGCAAGCAAAAATAACTACTGAATGAAATTTATTTAATTTCTGTAATGTATATTTGTGTATAAAAGATATTAATACTAGAAATAAACAACCTTATAACACCAAAATGTTGTTTTTATTTAAGTAGAAACTCAACATTTCCTTTTACAGCTTCTTCAAGAGCATTTATTAAAACACAAACTGAAACTGACAGTACAAAGCTTCCAGAAAAAGAAAAAGGAAAAAAATTATTTGTACTGTCAGTTTCAGTTTGTGTTTTACTGGATGTAATTGTTTGAAACTAAACATGAAATTTATTCAGATTAAGTAGCTTCTGTAAAATAAAATATCTTATTTATATACGTGTTCGTTGTTTGAAACAGTAGCTGTGAAATGTAAAAAGGTATTTCATGTTTACCTTTTTGGTTTGTATTACAATAACTGATTTTTATTATGTCTTCCTTCATGATTGTAAAACTTTTCAATAGTTTTTATTCTATGAAACTGTAAGTTTAATTTTTGTTTTATATTGAAAAACTGTGTTTACAATCACTATTGCACAAGAAAAATAACTTTATCCCAATACCAAGCAAGCTGACTTTTTAAATTGTTAATCCAAAGGTTTTATTTAATATACAAGTTTTAAGCCCATTTTATATTCATTTATACACAGGGCTCCAGACATACCTTTTGCCCAAAGAGCCAATGGTTCCCAGGCCAAAACTTTTCTGCACCAAATATAATTTAAGAACAAGGTGATTGCTTATATATATTCAACTGCTAAAATATACAAGAAAACTTGTTATATCATTAGAATGATACAAAAACAGAAACTAAATGTTTGTACTCAGATGCCTCACTGTTCAACTGTTCATTTTGTTGCCTAACAGTGACTCATTGTAATGACTCCTTTATTTCAGACACACAAAGAACATTTTCAAACGGTCTTATATGAAAGACACAAGTTTGGAAATTTGCCTCCCAAAGTTGATTTTTACGCATGCTCTAGAAACAGACTATGTTGATATAAATTTTGGGTTTTTTGTTCATTAATGTATACATCTTACACATATTCCTTCCCTCCCTTGTCCTATCATGTTATGCTGAGCTTGCAAGACTGTATTGGCCTTGATACATGTGGATGTAAAGTAATCAATTTGTCTTGCAGTTAACTGTACCTCAAAAAGTGTTCATTGTGAAGACTTGTATAAAAACTCAGAAATACAAATGAAGCACATTCTTTGTCATAACAATGTTATTCATAACCTTATCAAGAACTGAAGAAACACTGGTAGTGTAGAATATGAAACTACAGGGTTCACACACACACAGTCATAAAATTTAAAGGACATGCGAGGGTTTCAAATGCTATTTTTCTATGGCTCCCAACAATATAAGTTCATAAAACTTTTGACAACTTCCTGGTTTTGTTCCACTAACTGAAAAAACTTAATCTAGTGTTCTCAAAAGCCTCCACATTTATACAATTCTTTTCACTTTGCATACATCTATAACTTTGTTACTAGTAGCATAACATACCATATAGTGATAACCTTTGTGTTTTCAGACCAAATTTTTGAATTCATCTTAGTCTAACCATTTCCTATTGAATATGTACTTCCCCCATGATGAAAGACAAGATGACATTAAAGAACATACACACAGAATAATATTTATTGCCATTTTCCCTGACTCACTGTTTAGCTTTACACTTGCTGTGTCACACTGATGCTGGAAAATCATTAGCAAAATGATTTTATGACAGAGAAAAGATTATGAAAAAATTTGGGCTTCTCAGAAACCATAAGAGAATTGAACAATTTCCACTCTGACAAAGACAACTAATAAAAGTAAACAACTATGCATCAGATTAACATCAGAAAACTTCTAAAAGGCTCAATTATATAAAACTAAAGGAAGACTTATGATGGAAATTTTTATACTTGTATTGAAGAATGTTTCAAGTGATTTTGTTGAAATTCAAGAGCTTTTTGAGCCAAAATGTGAATTTAAGAACTTTTTAAGACAATCATGAAACTTAAGGACTTTTCAAGTTCTGTGTATATCCTAATCTAGAAGGCAGCACAAAAGGCAGGCAGTTACATCATTCAATGCAGTTCACAAAGGTTTTATACAAGAATTTGTTTTGAGCTGCCAGGGAACAAACAATCTCAACACAGGTTGTAATGCTGTTACAATTTTGATAACAAAAATTAGTAAAATTTTGCCTAAAAAAGAAGTATAATGAGACAAACAGTGTATTATTGGATTTGCTGTTTGTCACAGTGTTCACTTACTTCTTACTCCTTTTATTAAATTAACAATAATTTTTCACTCTTCAATTACAAAATTATCTAAGTCTAACAACTCTCTACATGATCTTGTTCCATAAAAAACACTTATTTTATTACCATACTACACCGCCATATTTCAAAAGTATAAAATGACCAAGCAAGCTATTTGCAATGTTAAAAAAAACAAAAAATCAAGACTGTGACAGTGGAAGAAGTTATTTCTATACACATACCACCAAGCTAAGCTTTTATCACTTTTTATTCCAATCTGTATGCAAGTCTCTGTTGAACTGGAAACCATAATGTTTTACATATTTAAAAATAACATAAAAAGAACTTCATGACATGTTTAGGTCACTAGCTTATGACATTTCAAAGGTCAGATAAAGGTGAGGCAATTACTTCACACCATTAGAACCAAGTTTCAAAAACACTAATTAAAATCAAGAACACTACACTGTATTGAATTTACAAGGTTCTAATTGGTGTTGTTTTGTTCCAAACACTTTTAATTATCCTCCTAAGGGGCTATGAGTGCTATATTATGCTCAGCAAAAATTCATTAAATTTATAAATAATGACATTTGTTTGTTACATGTTGAAATCACTGCAAAATCAAAATTTGCAATTTTCTTAAGAAATAAAACCTTTGTTTAAAAATAAATCTTAACTCTGAATATATTTTAATGTGTGGAAAAATTAATAAAATTTAATATTTTTTTATTGTAATGGTGCAATTTTGCCTATGGTGAAGGGTGCACCTAGCCAAGTGCCATTGAGTTAAAAAGAAAAAAATGATGTTTTTTTTAATCTCACTTAACAGATACTTTTGTAAAACTGAACATTGATCATATGATCATAAATAAAATTCAATTAATCAATTATATGCAGGTTTTTTTTCTGAAGTATCTTTACCTGCCTATGTATATTACAGGAATAATAATTATTTTTATAAATTGAAGTTTTAGGGAGACTAAAGTTGAAAATACTTCAAAATATAGCACTAGATTATTCACAACACACTATTAATATTTTACATATTAAGCATGCTAAACCAAAACACAGTTTTAACTCTTTTTTTTTTTTAATTTCTACAATAACTTTCTGGAGGGGTTGTTTTCTCTTGAAAAAGAAGAGTTAGAGAGGATCTGATTGAGGTGTTTAA